GAAAAATGTGATAGAAAGAATATTTATTCTGAAAAAATAAATAAATCAGACATTCCAGAAAACACGTTGACAAATTTCTCTCCGCATGCGTCCGTATTCAGGTCCATCGCCGCCCGTGAGAACGTGCTGGTGGCGCTGGGCGTCGGCGGCGAGGGCTACCACAACTACCACCACGTGTTCCCCTGGGACTACAAGTCGGGCGAGTTCAGCTACTACGCGTCCAACTACGGCGCCGTCTTCATCGAGCTGATGGCGCGGCTCGGGCAGGCCTCGCACCTCAAGTCCGTCAACCACGACATGGTGCGGGCGCGGGCGCAGCGCACGGGCGACGGCTCGCACCCCGTCTGGGGCTGGGGGGACAAGGACCTCCGCGACGAGGACAAGAGGGTCACCGTCGTCAACTAGGGCCTTAGAGTCGTGTAAGCGAGACTGTGATAACGTAGGGAAGGAGCTCAACACCCCACAAGAGAACTAACGTGTTTGTACATAATGCCAAATAAATTATTGTCTTAAAAATACGACCACCCCGTGTAGAATGATATCGGCCCACCCGACCCACCGAGCCGTGCCCCGGGCTGCATCAGCTTAAGCGGGAAGCAGTCGGGAAGCAGACAGCAAACAGCAGACAGCAGATAGTAAATACCGATACTTTCAAATCTAAACGTCCAATTTCGTTATGAAATCTTATTTTCATCATTCAAATATTATTTTCTGAACTTAAAAAGTATAAATATGTATACAAATCGGGTGTAAATCGGGAGATACTGTTCGCTGTCGTGCTGTCGTGCTGTTCCGACAGCTCCGACAGCACCTCCCGATTTGACATGATTTGAGCACACATTTAAAATTTTAAAGTTCGGAAAATGAATATGAGAGACCAACAAAAGATTTCATTCTGAAATATTGATGAAAATTGGTAAAACCGCCGGTATTTACTATCTGCTGTCTGCTGCCTGCTTCCCGACTGCTTCCCGCTTAAGCTGATGCAGCCCCGGGCTCAAAAGTCACAACGTATTCTACGTTGAGAATCAACCCCAGAGCGACCTCAGCTGTGCCGTCGCGGCCTCAGCTGATGCAGGTGGAGAGAAACGCCGAGAATAGACCACTCCGCGAGGGCTTATGCTTATTGGGAGTGAACCCCGGAGGGCAGCCATGGCCGTGGATAACACCCGTGCGGGCGGTAACCTCGGGGCCCAGGTGGGGAGGTTGCGCTCGGTCAATGCCGGAATAGGAAAAAAATAAATAGATAACGACCCAAAACGGAACCACTCTCAAATATACACTTATAACAATATAATATATACGCTTATAACAATATAATATACAACTATAGCAATATATGAACAACATTCTTTTCACCTGCTTGCTTTGGTTATCGTCCAGAAAGTACGTCTGTCATTCGCCGTTCGACGAAACTACCAACGTCGGCCGATGCAGGTCCCCCCTTAGCGCCTGGCAGGTAGGCAACATCTCGCCCGCAGTGCACGCGTGTACAGCGCGGTGGCCTACCCTGAGGCTCGCAGGCGTCGAGCTTCCCTAACGAGCCGAAATGAATCGGAAAAAGACGGACATTTGAAATATTGCCTTTCTCGACAACCCACACCCTCTCTCCAAAGCGCCCTCGGGGGAAACGCGTCTGCCAGAACAGCCTCGGGAGAAGGGTCTACGTACCCGCGACAATAAAAAATAGCGAGTTGCAATGTTGCAAATACTGGAAAATTTACAGAAAGGTTCGTCTATTTTCCCGTTTACTGCAATGCCGACAGTGCCAACGCCTTCAGTCCGTGCGATGGCTGCGACTCCTGGAAAGACAAAGAGCAAAATAATTATGACTTTTATTCAATCCCACAGTGATGCCAATCAATTATAATTATTATTTGCATATATTAAACATGGCGAATCACGTTGGCAAGGCCGGGACCGCATACAGGGTGGCCGGGACTGGAGCCCGGGCGGGGCCACCGGCAGGCACCCCCCACCACCACCCCTGCGGTCCCCGTGTGGTGGAGGCAGCCAGGTGTCAGGGGGGCTGCTCCGGGCTGCTCTGGGTTGCGGTCAGCTGCTGGGCCACTATAAAAGGCAGCAGCCCTCCGGGGGTTGGCAGAGTGCGGCGGAGAAGAGCAAGGGGAGACGCCTACCCACAGCACACAGGTGAGCAACGTCGAAACGATACATCGAACCGGCACCGGCACAATTGGCAATTGGTGTCGAATTTCAAAATGGTCCGGAAATGAACTCATATTTCACTTTTCACCAGTGATTTCTGATGTTTCATATTGTTTCGATATATCGTGTCAATTTCGATTCGTCACCACTTCGAGAAGCGCAGCAGGGCTATAGAGAGTGTGCCTCTCCCTCCATGACAGGTCCACGATGAGAGTCTTCCTGGCGGTGGCGGTCCTGTGCGCCGCGGGCGCGTACGCCGAGGACGTCAAGGAGGCCGTCGCCATGCCGTCGTCGGGCACCTGCGAAAAGACGGCCGGCGGGTCTTGCAAGCTCAGCCTGCTGACCACCAACCTCGCCGTCAACCCCGGCATCGTCCGGCCCGAGATTCTCGCCGCCACCGACCTCACGTCCGAGCTCCAAGAGTGGAACAAGCTGGGCTACGGCAACAGCTTCCCCGTCCTGGACGACAGTGGCAAGGTCGTCAACGCCAGTGTCGACGCCCTCACCTTCACCAACTTCGCCACCTTCGCCAACAAGTTCCAGGAAAACGTCAAGTTCCACTTCTTCAACAAGTAGTGAGTTCTCCTCGCTATGCATCTCTTGTTTTCTCTGCGGCAAAAGCCCGAATGCACAACTCGCTTTTAAAACGACTGTGTTTCTCTCAGTGACGAGAAAGACATCCGCGGGCACCAGGTGCTCGACGCCAAGACACTGCTGTCGATGGGCTGGGACAAGGAGCTGCCCGTCAAGGTCATCATTCACGGCTTCACCAACACCATCGAGTCCCCCGCCATCCAGGTGCTCAAGAACGGTAAGCCACGCCTCGAAAAAATGCCAACTGGGAGGTACTTTTTTGACTTTTTTTTTTGTCCACAACAACAAATGACTAATTTCTTTTCCCCACAGCTTTCCTCAAGACGGGCAAGTACAACGTGATCGGCGTGGACTGGGGCAAGCTATGCGCGGGCATCAACTACCTCGGGGCGCGGTTCAACGTGCACGGCGCCGGCGCGCAGGTCGGCGAGTTCCTGGACAAGCTCATCGGGCTGGAGCTGACCGACGGGTCGCAGATCCACATTCTGGGCCACAGCCTCGGCGCCCACGTGGCTGGCATCGCCGGCAAGACGGTGACCCGTGGCGTGATTAAGCGCATCACCGGCATGGACCCCGCCGGTCCCCTCTTCCAGGTGCGGACAAGAAAAATAATTGCAAAGAATAGTTTTTTCAAAAATATTTTGTTTGAATTCTTTTCTAAAAAAACAACAACAAAAAAAACAACAAAATTGTTTTGGAAAAAACTTTGAAATCATCATCTTCATTAATTTTCGTACATACCAATACAATGTCCGCCTTCTTCCAGGTGACTGGACCGCACGGCGTCATCTTCCACACGGACGCGGAGCTGGTCGACATCTACCACACCAACATGCACTGGCTCGGCAAGTCGGCTCAGCTCGGTCACATCGACTTCTACCTCAACGGCGGCGTGCACCAGCCCGAGTGCGCCTGGAAGGAGATCATCATCGCCGGCAACGCCTTCGGGCCGTGCTAGCACTCCCGCTCCTTCGAGTACTACGCCGAGACGCTCGCCAACGGCCGCGGCCTCGAGGGCACCTTCTGCCCCAACTT